ATTTCCTCAAAGATGAAAAAGAGACTCGAGGCGACGGAGATGTGGTTCTACAGAAGGATGCTAAGGATATCATGGACCGAGCTTGTGAGCAACGATAAGGTCTTAGAGAGGTTTCAAAGAGGAGGCTTATACTTAACATCAAGAAGAGGCAGCTGAAGTTTCTGGGACACATAATGAGGAAGGAGGGCCTGGAGAATCTGATACTCACGGGTCGAATAAAGGGAAAGAAAGACAAGGAAAAACAACGCGTGACATACCTGGCGGGCTTAAGAAAGTGGATGACAGAACGTGACCTGGGGCAGGAAGCAGAGGGAAGGAGCTTGCTGAGAGCTGCAAGGTATAATGGGAGGTGGAGAGCCATGATAGCCTTCGTCCGGAAAGTTCATGGCACATAAAAAGAAAGAAAGATTATAGTAGTATGGGAACGAGGAACAAATATCTACCTCTTGCCGACTTCTCTCTGTGTTAAACCCTAGGACCTATTATTGACCTTGATAATCTTTTGCCTTTTATTTTTTTTAATATCTAAAAATTATTGAAGAAATTGTAGATTGTAATCATAACTCTTTATTTCTGGAGCCGGTTACAGAATTCATCAAGCAACAAGAGCCAAAAAAATAGCATGGCCCTTTTGCCATACAGTCACGAGATTATTTATGTCTACGTAAAACATGTAAATGCAATCCATACTTCCTCGAAGAATTTCATCTAATTCCCCCAACATTGAAGGCACTCTCAACAAATAAAAAAATTATCTTGAAAAGTTCTAACTTGTTTCTTGTCTGTCCAATCACACGTCAAATGAAAGCAAAGATGTAAATCCAATCAGAAAGTTTTCCGTAAACGATAGCATAGTACCTCAAGGGCAAACATTTATCCTCAAAAGCAAGGATAAATTTCTTATTAAGAATTATACACATGTGCAAACTATCTAAAATTCCAGTTTTCATGCTTGCAGTTCATATTTTTTTTATTTCCTGTAAAACTTACTTATGAAAATCATTTAGCAATAGAAGATATTTAGCTAAGTGAAATTCCGGTTTATTCACTTGTTAGAATCATGGCTTTGACATGTTGCCAAGTTTGTTCAAGCTAGCTTCTTTAGTAGCAACAAAAAAAGTTTTATGAAGATTATGCAAATACTGCTTTAACTTTTCAGTGTTTCCTAACGTTGCGTGTGGATTGAATTGCCCTTTTTCTCTTCCAGAGTTTTTTTTTTTTTTTTTTTTTTTTAAATCAAAGAAGGGCTCCAAATCCAGAAAAAAAGAAATGCTACAACTGACAAATGAAACCTAGAGAGACATGTGCCTGTATGACACCGTCAAAAACCATTCTTTTCTGCGCACTTTTCCTGGATAATTTCTGTTACTTTGCATGTCGTCTCCTGTTAGTGCTTATCTGTCTGCAGTCCCAAGGTTAGGACCCCAACTGCAGCAACAAACCGAATCAAATTTTCTTCGACTTAAATATTTCTAAAGAATTCATGGATTTATTCTTAATCCGACATTTTGACTACTTCAAACGTTATTATTGTGGATATTCGTATTTGAAATAGGCGCCTCACTCACACAGAACACATTTTATTTATTGAGATTTCTTGAATACGAAGGGCGACAGTTTAAAGTAAAAATTAAAATAGGGCGTCTATTTCAAATACGAGTAACCACTAAATATATAACGTTTGAATATATACATCACATTGTGGTTAGGTTACGAAATAATCATTGTTTCTTGGAGGAGCATACAAGAGAGAGGGGGAGAGCAGGTTGGCCAGCTACTATCTTCTCTACATGCAAGCCATTTTAAGTGTTTTGAATATTCAATCAAATCCCCTTGTTGAAAACCGCAGGTACACAAAGTACCCTATATTCTAGCGCATCGTGCGACATTTGAAGACAATTGGACTATAGTAAACGGATATATAGTTTGGTCAACAGCGTACCCAGGGCCAGCAGTACAAACGTTAATTTTATATTTCATGTATGATGCAAAGGCCTTAAAATTAACTTCAAAATTAGGTCTTCAAAAGTCACATGCTACACAAGTATATATGGTAATCTGAGAGAGAGGCTGAAACGAGTATCAGAGTTCTCAACTTCTATACTCCCACATCCATACTCCTCATTTTTGCACGTCTTTTTTTTCTTTTTCTCGCCTTATATCAAAACTAGCAGCATGGCCTGGCGTTGCCCGTGCTTGATTCAAAAATCGTACGACTCGTACAGCAATCGCTATCACTTGACTTAAAATATTTTTGCCCTTCCTTGCCTTTAAAGGAGTGCCCTTGCCGTGCTGATGTTGCTACATGCCTTACTTCTTGCCTATCTCACACTGCGAATTTTTTCTATACTAAACATTAAATCTGTTATGAAAAAAAGAACGAAACAAAATGAACACAAAACGATCAGCTTTAAAAAAGGACTCGTAATTGGAAAAACCGAATGAAAAATGAATGTTAACAACAAATACTTTTTCACACCCAACCCAGTTCTGCAGAATCAGAATCAACGTTGAGTTTAAGCAAGCGAATGAGCCAATTGGAATAAAGTGCCATGCAGATTTAAATTTTTCCCACTTGTGACGAATGCAGCTATCGATTTTTTTGCATGCTAGTTAACATTCATGTCAGTCAGCTGTTGGCTCTCACGCTAGCCAAGAGCATCTTCCTGCCTATTCGTGGCAGCCAGCTATAGGCTCTCACTCTGGCCAGTAGAAAATGGCCGCAAACTACATGAAAACTGCCGTAGAAGCATGAAAAAATCGATTATTTCCACTATCGATGAGAATTGGGAAATGCAAAGTTGGTGTTGGCCTTCCCGATAACTTGGAGCATGTTAATTTTGGTGCAAATCCATCAAAAATTGCAGCCGTGCATTCGTTACACACACACACACACACACACATCCTGCCTTTTATAGATAGAGATTTACATAAAGACAATCCATCACTAACACAATCCCATGCCCAAGTGTATTGGACTACCAGTATTCAGTTCTGACCACTTCAGACTAATGGAATATCAATTACTTTCACTCCCAAGTCATACATTCTTTGAACTCATACTTAGATATTTTTGTTTAGAAAAAGAAATAAAAGAAAATTATAAAATTTTTATTGTAATTATTATTTTCACCTATTTAGCCTATGCATTATGTAACAACACCAAGCAACAAATTCTTTAAATATCGGCCATAAGACAGCAGAAAATGTAAAAGTTACCATTATAAAGTCTGAATTTTTGTTGGAACAGGAAAAAGCAGGAATTGAAGAACCTGGGAAAGTAAGTTTCGCAAGTCAAATTATAGCCACGAATGTCAATCTTCACTTCTCTTTAGCCAGACGAAATATGAATAGACTCATTCCCATAATAAAAAATGTTTTGCCAGCAACGACTCATCACAGTAACTGCTGGAAAGCATATCACAGTCTAACTAACAAAGACTTTATACATCACTGTCAACCATTCAGATGAGTTTGGGATAGATGAAAAATGATGTTTACATTCAGACTATTACATGATAGTGACCACAATGGATCGGGTCATTTGATAAATCTGACCAAAATTTCAATAGTGGTAAACTAATAAGGTGTTGTTTACAAAATCTGTTTATGAGAGTAAAAGCAAATGACAAGCAATACAAAAAGAGAGTTATTATGTTCCTTATCAATTTGGTTAGTTTACAGTTTTGTTTTTTACTCTTATATGTTCCTCTAATTTTGTGAAAAAGTGAAAGATTCATTGTCAAAATAATACTGTAATTAATAATCTGATCAAGATTTATGCAAGCAAGCTTAACTCGCAGACAGGATTAAACCTTAGCACAGCAGTTTGAAAAACATGTTAAAATAGAGTGTGATGGCTGTAACTTGACTTTTAATGGAAGAGAATAAAGATTTGCTTCACTGCAGAATGGAAATTTTCCAAAGCCGCTGGAATTCATATACAAGTGTGATCCATTTTTAGCTGGTCAAAGCTTTAAAGTATGAAAGCCCAGAAAAAAAGAAATCTATCTATCCAAAACCACTTGTAAAGAAATAATGGCTGAAAAGGTTCACACATTTGTTGCTGGTGAAAATGAAAAGAGTCTTTCTGGTTATTTTAGCTTTTGTCACTTGACTGAAGTGATGAATATGTGATCAGATCTGGAGTTAAGTGTGGTACTTCAATAAAAATTGGATGACTTGTTGAGCACTCTTAAAAATTGCTAAAAATAGGAAGCCATATTGGTGAAGATATTGTAAACCAGGTCCTGCTGTACTTTATATCTGCAAAATAATTTTTTTTTCAAATTGTAAATCAGTCCTGCAACAATGCTGCTAACATATCCAGCATTATAGGATGGTGCAACAAAAATATATTTTAGAATATAAGTTTTGCCATGTAAACCCATGGTAATATTTTCTTCCACATTACATCTATCTTGTAGTTTTATCAGCTTCAACCAACCAGTTGAAGAGTCAAAGTCTTGGAAGTGTTAAAATTGAAATTTATTTTTTTTGTATATCAGAGGGTGGGGAAACATGCTGCAGATAAAGAATTCATAAGTAAAGATTTTGAAAGCTTTCAAAAATCTAGCAGATGAATTACAAAAAGACACTTAAAAGTTTGGTTGGTTGATTTTACATGTCAACACATTTTAGCTTATATCTAATGTTGAATTATGTATACGGCACCATCCAGTGAATATGAAACTGAATACTCAATAGTAAGAGTATTAACTGGTCTTAATCTGGTCATAAAAGACATCTGAAGAAGGTGCAAGGGATAAAATGTGATGTGACCAAGCAAACACAATAATCCTAGTAGGGCAACACTGTTTCAATATTCATGTAGTTAAAGAAGTATAAAATAAAAAATTGTGATTGAAAAAAATAAAGTAAAATCAAAATCCCATAAAATGCAAAATTGCTCGTAAAAATTTCTCTGCTTTTGCATAATTTTATTTGTTAAATTAACAAATTGGGTAATTTACATTCTTTAAAGTACTGAGATATATATTTTACCTCAACATAGAGATAGATGGGGAGAGAGAGAGACAGCTATAGAGATAGATGGGGAGAGAGAGAGAGACAGCTATAGAGATAGATGGGAAGAGAAAGAGAGAGACAGCTATAGAGATAGATGGGAAGAGAGAGAGAGAGAGACAGCAATAGCGATAGATGGGGAGAGAGAGAGAGAGACAGCTATAGAGATAGATGAGGAGAGAAAGAGAGAGACAGCTATAGAGATAGATGAGGAGAGAAAGAGAGAGACAGCTATAGAGATAGATGAGGAGAGAAAGAGAGAGACAGCTATAGAGATAGATGAGGAGAGAAAGAGAGAGACAGCAATAGCGATAGATGGGGAGAGAGAGAGAGAGAGACAGCAATAGCGATAGATGAGGAGAGAGAGAGAGAGAGACAGCTATAGAGATAGATGGGGAGAGAAAGAGAGAGACAGCAATAGCGATAGATGGGGAGAGAAAGTGAGAGACAGCTATAGCGATAGATGGGGAGAGAGAGAGAGAGACAGCAATAGCGATAGATGGGGAGAGAGAGAGAGAGACAGCTATAGAGATAGATGAGGAGAGAAAGAGAGAGACAGCTATAGAGATAGATGGAAGAGAGAGAGAGAGACAGCAATAGCGATAGATGGGGAGAGAGAGAGAGACAGCTATAGAGATAGATGGAAGAGAAAGAGAGAGACAGCAATAGCGATAGATGGGGAGAGAAAGAGAGAGACAGCAATAGCGATAGATGGGGAGAGAAAGAGAGAGACAGCAATAGCGATAGATGGGGAGAGAAAGAGAGAGACAGCAATAGCGATAGATGGGGAGAAAGAGAGAGACAGCAATAGCGATAGATGGGGAGAGAAAGAGAGAGACAGCAATAGCGATAGATGGGGAGAGAAAGAGAGAGAGAGACAGCTATAGAGATAGATGAGGAGAGAAAGAGAGAGACAGCTATAGAGATAGATGAGGAGAGAAAGAGAGAGACAGCTATAGAGATAGATGGAAGAGAAAGAGAGAGACAGCTATAGCGATAGATGGGGAGAGAAAGAGAGAGAGAGACAGCTATAGAGATAGATGAGGAGAGAAAGAGAGAGACAGCTATAGAGATAGATGAGGAGAGAAAGAGAGAGACAGCTATAGAGATAGATGAGGAGAGAAAGAGAGAGACAGCTATAGAGATAGATGAGGAGAGAAAGAGAGAGACAGCTATAGAGATAGATGAGGAGAGAAAGAGAGAGACAGCTATAGAGATAGATGGAAGAGAAAGAGAGAGACAGCAATAGCGATAGATGGGAAGAGAAAGAGAGAGACAGCTATAGAGATAGATGAGGAGAGAGAGATATCATGGTTTTTTCTGTGCCAATAGAATCTCAGTGAGAAGATAACTTAATAGGTGTTTGAATTTAATTCCTTTGATAGAAAATGGAATGGTGGTTAGTATAATTTTCTTTCTTGATTAAAAGAAAATACCCAACAGCAATTAAAGATATTTTAATAGTCAAAATAAAACCTATAAATATGGGCTCAGATTTGTTCGCAATTTCTAATCGAGAGCCAATCTGAGCCCACATTTATTCCACATTTCCACTTCTTTTATAGCACAATGTGGAATAGACATCAATTGCATGGATTATAAAGACAATAAAAACAAATGACGGCGACATTTCTAAAAAATCTTTTATTGACAGTGTTAAGAGTTCTTTTTTAGATTTTGCTGTTTTTTGTTTTTGCTTTGTTTTTTGCTTCCATGTTGTAAGAGTAAATGATAAGAATAATTATAGAGAAGAGATCCTGGAATCCCATTGTTAATAAAATTGTACATTCTGATTGGCTCTTTTCTCCCACCCAACCCAAACAAACCAGCGTATCATTCTGCAATGCTGATAAAAAGTTGACTTCCTACCCACCTACCCTTGTCATGGACAAAATAGAAGGGAGAGTGGATGGAGGATGTGTGGCCAGAGTCAATATCTATGCCTAATATGAATGAGTGAGTGACCAACAGTATGATGACCATTATATATATATATATATATATATATATATATATATATATTTTATTTTTAAGTTGGAGAGGCAGGGCAAAGTAGATGGGGTTAGGATAGTGTTACAGCCACTGAATTAAGGCAGGTGTTGAGATTTTTTACCTCGTAGTAGAGGGGTGGGGGGGTCAAAAGAGGAAAATGATGTGGTGTCATTTGCACAAGATACACAGGAAGAAGATAAGCAGAAAGCATTGGCATTAGGAAGGAAAAAAAAAGGACTAAACAAAGTGGTGAAGAGATCTTAGGAACCAGAAAGAATTGTCAAAGAGGACACAAAGGAGGGAATAGTTGGGCAAAAATGGTCAGACATACATACATACATATTTATGCCCCAATATTTTGTTATGTTTACTTGGTTTATTATTATCAGTATGTCAACCTGCAATAAAAAAAAAAAAAAAAATTGAAATTCTTTTTATGGCAAGGAGGCAGTAGTGTTGATGATAAAGGAGATCGTATTGTTGGTACTGGTGTTGGTCATGTGAAACATGGATACTGGGGGGGAGGTAGAGGCAGACTAGTGGAAAAATTGCTGGCTGTTGCTCTATTTTATTTTATCCTAGGAACTGTGGCCACTTATCACAATCACTCTTCTAGTCATTGCATTCCCCCAGCTGCAACTGCATCCAGAAAGATCCAAAGCCCTTATTGGAATTGAGTTAAAGGGCACAAACATCCATTTGGTATTGCATTCAATTGTTGGCAAAGTCATCAATCTCGCCCACATCAGAGTAGGTTTCAGAGTCTTTGGAATATGTGATTTTGAATTTTAACCGAATTTTTTCCTGTTTAAGAAATAAAAATAACTTTAAAAAGAAGTTTACATACATAAAACATTAATAATAACAGTTAATTTACATTATACACACACACACACACAAATGAAAACCTTACTAAATACCAGATACACTCAGGCCAAGAACATTTCAGCAAAACCTTGTGCACATATGTGTGAGTGTATAAATACACACGGACACACACAAAAAAAAAAACAAAAGCAATAACTGATGTATATAAAATGAAGAGAATGTACGAAAAGTTTTTTTTTTATTTGTTTTTTTTTTGGCTTATCAACCTTTTGCAGGTTATTTAAAACTAGAAAATATTTTTTATTTTGTAAGAATTTTTTTTTTCAGAAATAATGTTTTTCTTGTTTGTTTTTTTTTTTTTACTGATACAAGTTCTACTTACTACTTAACCCATACTTGGCAGAAAAAGAGGTGGATTCATACACTTTCCTAAAAGTATTTTCACCTAAGTGAATATAAAGAAACCAACAGGAATTGGAACTCTGCTCTTCGATTTACAAGATTTACAATTCTGAGCTGTTATCCATTACCATACCCCCCACACACACAAGCCTACAGCACCTAGTATTCCCAAGCAGTCACTCATCTAGGTATTGACAAGGCTCAACATTGCTTAACTATGGAGATTGTACAAGAACTGTTATTTCAACAGGATATGGCTGTAAGCCAAGAATGTAAGAAAAGAAATGATAATCAGCAAATGAATTTATAAATAAAATCACTGAAACAAAGTGATAAAAGAATTCATTGAATAACTTACTTTTTGAGGATTAGCTATCAACATGACTTGTGTAATGGCTGCTGGGGGAAGAATTGGGTTGTAAGTGGGCAGATCTGTAGCTGATGGAGGTTGCAGCTTCACTTTCATCACCTGAAAAAAAAAAAAAGAAGAAAACAATATTACTTATATGTTCATCAAGGCTGAGGGGCCCAATTAGCATTTTTAAAGAGTTCAGGTTCATAATCAAAATCTTAGATCATTTTTACTGTTCAATAATTAACATTTAATTCAAATACAAATAGAAATATTTCAAAGTATAAACAAACAAGTGAGAAGAAAATTAAAATCCTTGCTGTTCTCAATAATGCTTTGTTAGGTGAATATTGCAATGTGTTATAAATGTCTAAAAAACTGGAATTGGGTCCTAAATGGAAGCAATGCACCCAATTAGTGGAAAGCCAGCTCTAATTCAATAAGGGTCAACATTGCCTTTTGACCTAATGACCTGGAGAACATTGTTGGAAATGAATCCAACAAAAAGGAAGAGACATTGTTTTTGCTTCAACAAAGTGAAATAAAAATGAAATTAAATTTCACACCAAAAACTAATAAACAATCCGAGAGAATTAAATGAAAATGGAACTTATTCTTTAGTGTTACACACATCCATAAAATCACACCACACCAAAAAAGTACTTGAGTTTTTTCCTTTTTTCTTTTTACAAGTACCATAGGAAGAAAATAAATCCTTAAACTATCAATTCAAATTATTTAATCCTCATCTGATCTTTAAAAAAAAATCTATAAATCTGATAAAAGACATATTGACTTCCAAATAATAAAGCCTATTTTATGCTAACACAGCAATTAAATAAATAAATTGCAAATCAATCACTCACTTTAAATCAATGAATGCCTGCCATTAAAAGGACATAGTAGTTTATAAAAGTTATACAGGTTGCAGCAGAAATAACTCCCAAATAATAGTAAGACATTAGCTAGATGTCTTACCATTCCTTTCGCCACTCTGTTCAGATGATCATGGCGGACACAAAATTTCTTCAAGAGCTTGGCATTTTCTTCATTACATCATCCCATTTTCTAGATGAAAATGTTATCACACATCTTTGTCATATAAGCCTATGACTTCTCACCACATGTGGGGAGAGGAGGAGGAAAGCAGGCCCCTGATCCTTGTGACCAGGACTCTTGAACAGGTTCTGTATTGAGTTACAGTTACAGTTAATTTTGTTCTGCCAACTGGACACTAGTTGGAAACTTACCCCTCCACTTTTACTTCCGGCATTTTTGGCCTTTATTACTCCCAGCTACCACAGACCGTTGTCTTCCAGCATTCTTACTTTACTTCCATCTTTCCTGATCTGCACATTTAATGGCTATCATCAGCTTTCTACTTCCAGCTTTCATTTCTGCACTGACAACGTCCAAAATCCACTCCTACTTCTGGCATTTCTACACCTGCTCATACAATGGCTGCAACAGACCCCCCCCCACACCACCAGCCTTACTGTAGTCATTTCTAGTTCCTACTTTTGGCATCCCTATTTCAATCTAACTCACCTGTTTCATAGGAAGTTGCTGAATGCATATCATCCAGACTTCAAACAACCTATTCCATACACTTGGATTAAAAACTACAGAAAGTCCATCATTTGACTTAACCAGCAACTACCCAGACATTAATACAACATTGGCTTTTATTTCCTCGCTGCTTCATCATGGATTTTATCAATGCCTGCACTGGAAAGTACAGCTATTTCAGCCTATCTTCAACTATTAACTTCTGGCATTTCCTGTCAACCTTTGCTGCATGCATATTGTCCAGGCTTTAACCAACCTATTCTGTACACTACTATGGAAAGTTCTTCGTTGGACTTAACCAGCAACTACTCAACACTTTCACCAGACATTTAAACTGAACTTTCAAACTGTGTTTTTTTCATGCCAACTTAATTACCAGGACTCTACTTTTAACATTTTGTCACAGCTATACTATCTAGGTTCTTCTAAATGGCCAATATCCCTCAATTTACATGATTATTCCTCCATTTACTTGATTCATTGTTGATTCATGTTTCTTTTCAGTGCATTTAACTGTAACACTACTTTTGTATATTATGTAAATAAATTTTGCATAAAGTTAACTATCTTCATTCTGTTGTCCATTTTGTTTTACCTGTCAGATTTCACATCTTTTATTCTTAAATGTATGTGGGCCTCCTATGACTCATACTTATTGGGGCACACAGACCATATATATTTTATATCACGTCCCCTCTAGACGGTCCTCTACATTGTCACACTCTGTACAATAAACAAAGTGTATCTAAAATGAAATCTACTTTAAGTTCTTCACATATGACTTCACCCTGACAGAAGCAAATAGTAACTTCTTAAAAATATTTACTTCCTTTGTCTTAATTTGTCTTTAATTGTTGTACTTCCCCACTTATTCTTTTAATGCATACAAAAAAGAAAAATTATTTTCACCAAAAACTGTCAGCCTTTAGCCACAATACTCCAAATGTATGGAAGACTAATTTAAATAAATAAAAAACAAAAAAAGAGAGATGATGATAAAGTAATGGCTATGTGAAAACAGAAAGACACAGAAAGAATCCATGCATTAGAAGTGGTGAAAGTAACTTTCACATTCATAACTCATCTTCTCTCCTTCCCACTGGATAAAATATATACTCAATGAAACCAACATGATCATACTAGTCTGAATAACTTACAAAATAATTAGAATAATTTCAAGATAATATTTAAAAAAATAATTTTTTCAAGGCTTAAATGAAAATTCAAAATTGCGTCTAATTTTAATTCTGATTAAAGCAAGAATTTAACATTTGTAATGAAAGTTAAGTAGATTTGATTAATTCTTTGATGACCCAAATTGATTAAATGTTAAAAATATTACATTTTTTGCACACTTTCCAAACAATTTTTTCAGTCTTCAAAGTCTTAGCAAATAATAATTATCAGATAAAGGGAATTTATCCAAAGATATTTATGTAGTGAGAAGGGTTTTACTTATCATACAAACCATCCCCAAGTTATTTCTTAAAAAAAAAAAGAAAAACAAATTTGATATCACTTGGCCTTTAAATAACAGATATAATGAAAAGATGAGATCAAATTGTAATGACAAAACCTGAAAGCATTTTAACTGTGCCCTTTGCTCCTAAAGCGTATTTTTCTTTTTGACAGAGAATCAAGCCATTTGCAAAGAACAGAAAAAGCCAATGACACTAATCTCAAGAATGTCTGACTTTTAGTGATTCATCAATCTATATTAACACTCAACAAGAGACTTAAGAAATAGATGTATTGAACAGAGAAGTAGATGTACTGAATTGAAAAAGGATAAAAATCAAAAGCAAAATGTCCACAAATGCCAACTTTAACATCACACAATAATGGCAGTCAATGAAAACATTTCAATAACCATTTTTTCTCCATTTTTTCGTGAAAGAAATAATTTTAAAATATTCTGATTATATTTTTCGATATTTCTATGCAGCAAACAAGGGTGTACTCTAAATAAAGAATATATTTATTTCCTGATTACGTTATATAGGTGTTTACCTCACTTTTTTTTTTTTTTTCAAATAATCCAATCCAAGGGAGACAACACCTTTAGCCACATCTCCCATCCTCATGCATACAAAAGATAAAGAGTTACTTCCACTGCATACTGTTCCCTGAATCCAGAAAAGAGGAATAAAAAATGAACAAGTTGCTTAGAGAGCCTTTAGATACAATGGAATATGGTAAGACTTATATTAATGTTAATCCAATTTGTAAAATTTGATTTTATGGATTTATTATAGAGTTAACATTCCAGAAAAATGGTCTATTTGTCTTCAATTTAAATGCTGTCATAATCCTTGCTTTCGGTTCATCTTTGGTGTTACAAGGAGTTTTGATAGTCTCTCACTCAACTGCACCCCACGTAAATAATCAAAGGGAGTTAGGGGGCAGATGTAAGGGGTGATGTGGTTGCCAAAATTGTCTAACAGTTATGACTGGGTTCTCCTGCTTGTGTGGCATGGTAGAGAGTACTGTTGAAAGACATAGGGTCTTCCCTAGCCACTCTTTTCACCCAGGGCAGCACTACCTCTTCAAAGCCCTTGATGTAGGCCTCCATGTTCAGTCTGAGGCCCTCACTAACAAATTCGGGAGTTCTTTTCTTATCAAAATGATCAGAGTGAGTTTTGTGAGCTGCTGTACCTTTGTAATCACCATTAGACTCAATCAACTCTTTCCAAATCCTCTGCACTGTCCTCAGATTGACACCCAAACAAGCTGAAATGTTTGTATTGGAGCTTCCAGCACAAATGCCAAGAAGTACAGCATGCTGTTTCCAAATTTCTAGCAGAGGGAATTCCATCATAGGGCTCTTTTTCTCACAGACGGTGCCCAATTGGCCCCACTATACTGTGCAGTCAACAAAATAAAAAAAAACACAGATGCACAAAATTAAAAACATAAAATGGCGACAATTTACCCATCATACTCTGTATATAATTATATTTTAAAAAAATAATATATAATACAAGCTTACCTCAGTGAAAAAATAGTGATGACTTATGAGTGCTAAGGTGTTTATATTCTGCACTTTGCTCTCATTTGCATTTTTTTTTTTTCTTTCTGTTTTTGGTAAACCATTTTATCTCAGGACCCACAATTTGAAAAACCCTCAACTAATGGATTTTATTTTTTAAAACAAAATATTTATATTACTCCCAACATTATTTTTTGTAGATATCCATATTTGATTAGATACAGTTTTTTGGGGGTTTTTTTAAAGCATGTTTATTTCATCTATTGGCCTGCATATACAAGAAACTTAATATAAAGAGAATGTTCCCTCCGACAGGATTCAAATCTGTGTTCCATTCTACAGGAGAAACCACCATCTGATCCAGGATTGTTTGGCTGTTCGGCTACATAGAGCTTCACAGTCAAGCAGAGTTCTACTTGCCTTCAAATCACATTCACTTGTTCAGATTTTTTTCAAAAGCCATATCTGCTCAGTTCTATATTCTAAATGTAAACAAAGCAATTTCTAAAGAATTAATGGATTTTATTTTTTAATCTGACATAGTTTTATTACTTCAACTAAAAATAACATTTGAAGTAACAAACATATATATTTTTATTACATATGTGACTGAGTGGTTAGAATATTCAGTTTCTGACCATGAGACCCCGGGTCGAATCTCACCATGGTTGATTTGTCCGGAAGGAAACTTCCTGATGTTATTGGACTGGATCGAGGTCAATCCCAGTGTGAGTGAAATTGGGTAGACAGAACTCTTGGGGGCCCGTTGGTACCTGTGCTAGAACAAAGCCACAAATCATCATGGCCGAGGGCTTGAGCATGCTGAGCTGACCTTGTTCAAATTATTGAAAAACGCTAGATAACACACTCTCTTCCAGAAATTGTAATTAAGGTCTGCTCAGCATAATTGCAGTATAAACCACAGTTTGGCTTTTTAGGTGTTGAGCAAACAAATGTGCCTGAGTGAGCGTCTGCAACAAGGATTGGTTAGCCGCCCTAGTACACAGGTATACTCAAATATGAGTGGCCAGCTATTATATATGTATCTTATTATTTGTGACATACATATAAAAAAAATTATAGACAAAATCTAATTACGCATAAAAATATTCTTGAATAAATTTTAACCAAATGTAATTAAGTTATAAAATTATGTCGAAGAAGTGATATTAATCAAGTAGATTAAGTCAAATAGAAAAGTTGATAAATTTAATTGTTCCTAAATGTTTCTAATACAGACATACTTAAAAGAGATGTTCCCTGAAGATACACGTCTAGAAATAAACTATAGAGTCTGAAAGATTTTGTGAAGGGATTCAATATTTATCATTAGCAAAGAAGGTTTGTCTATTTTTCCATGAGAATCTTAAAAACTGACTCAAATGAACACTGTTCTATAACATTTATTCAAGCATATTTTTATAATTTGTTTAAAAGTAATACAAATTAATTTTGGTATATAGACCTATCAATTACCCTGAAACTCTATAAGAAAAAAAATATGTTTATAATCAATATTGTCTTCATTCAAGTTCAACTTGTAATGCCTTATTAAATTTAGAGACCTTGCTGCCTGACATTTTTCACTAAAATCTATTCCAGATGTCATTAATCAGTAAAACAATGTACCAATTTACTTACCTTGGGAACTGCCGCTTGAAACAAAAAACTTTTGACTGGACATGAGTTTCTACTCATCACTGACACAACCATCACAAGAACATCAGGCCGCGGCTTGTTTTTGGCAAAATGAAAAACTATCTTCAGCCCATCTTTGTCATAGGCATTAATCGATGGTGAGGTGCCTACACAATAAGAAAAAGAACTATTTGTTCAACATTTCATATGTAATTTGACAGCAGCTTCAACACATTAACAAAACACATTGAGGTAGTAGTTACCCATTATCATCATTAACCATTTGAAGTAAGAAGCAAAGAAACAATTCTTGGAGAAAATGTCAGGCCAGATTCCTTCTAAAATCTACTTCAACTCTGTACTTCTAATGTCTCTGCCTAAGCTCGGAAATTTTATTTACTATTATTTTTTCCTCAATAGGAGAAGAGGTTTATCTCTTGTTTCCTGTTTAAGAATGGGTTTCTGGTTACTTCTAAAATCTTTCACTCCCCTTGTGTCTTAATGGTATTATCCCCTTGCTTGGGGCAAATTCATTAAAAAATATATATACAAATTTGTTACCAAGAGGAATGGAAAGTGAGGTAAAAATGAAGCCCTTACTAAAATAAAAAAAGAAAAACAAAGAAAATTAGAAGATTGTGAAATGATTAGTGAATATGTCACATAAAAAGGGGGTCGGAAGATAAAGTATATAAGGGGGTGGGAAGAGAGAGTATATAAACAAGTTGACATGACATGGAGAGGCTCCAAAAAACCTGATACAGAAGAGTTTTTCAGTGTTCCAAAATTGTTCACTTTTCTTTTGGCCACAAGAATTATGTGATATTTTCATGTCAGCAAAACAGGTTCGATTTTAAAAAGATTGAAAAAAGAAACAAGAAAAAAAGTAGGAAACAAGAAAAAAAAGTAGGAAAAAACCTTTGTTTATTCTTTATGTACACTTGATAACTCAAGTGCCATTTAAAGGTGATACAAATATAGGCAAGATTTATCCCCTTCTCCTATTTAACAAGCCATTTTGGTCAGAGAAGGATCAGGCAAGCCATCCCTATCCAGTCCTTAATGTTATCAAATCATTTCTTACTCTGTTGTCTGTGACTCCATCGTCCCTCAACTGTGCCTTGCATAATGGTTTGGGTCAGAGCATTCTATCTAACAAAGAGTCTGAACCAAGCCAGTTACTGTCATTTAAGAGTCAACAGAAGTGGTTCTTGAAAGCCACTATCTTACTTATTTCCTCCCTACATGAGATATGCAGTTCTCTCAAACACTTGAAGGCCTAATCACTAGTCTCCTCACCATCAGTGTCCATGTCTCTCTGCCATAAAACAGGATGGATACAACTAATAATTTGAAGAACTGAAACTTTATTTAGGATCTGATATTGCTCTTCCACACTCTTCCCAGTTTAGCCAAAATGTGTTGTGGTGGTGCCATATGCATTGGATCTGGCTACTAATGACTTGCTGTTCACCTTCCATTAATTTGATGCCACCTGTAAATCAGAGGTTCCAAACTAGACTGCTAACAATGAAGACAGAGGTATAGTAATTTTTAAGTGTCTCTTGCATTATTCTTTCCAAAAAACAGATTAAAGAGGCCAGGGGAAAGAAGACTTGCCTGATAGTCATTTGGAAATATTTCCAATTCGGTTATCGAGAACTACATTGATGGCCTATTAATAGAGGGTCTGAAGAGTTTTGACAATATCTTTCTTGATTATTTACACTATTTACATTGTTCAGACTGTTGTCCTAATCTTTGTTGCTATATTCACAACATTTTGGCCATTGTACACTAAGGCCTTCTTCAAGTGATTGGAATTTTGAACCAAACCATTTATTTCATCCATCAGGGGCGATTGTTCTAGTTCCACATGCCATGCCTCTTCTGGATATGTCAGTTTCAGTTATTTCTCTTTAATTCAACTCTCCAAGTTTTTTGTTCACCTATACTGTGGCCAGATATTGAATTCACAACTCTTTGGTCAAGTCACTAGATTACTTCAAGCAAGCATATGTCCTTGAGAACCTGAGATATCTGGAAGTGGCATGGCACATAGAACTAGAACAATCTACCCTGGTGAATGAAATAAAGGGTTTAGTTCAAAATTCCAATCACCTGAAGGAGGCCAGAGTGCAAAACGGCCAAAACATCATGAATGTGGCAACAAATATAAGGACAACAGTCCAAATAATGTAAATAGTGTAAATAATTAAAATACCAAATCTCAGACCTTTCTTGATGTTGAAACTTCTGAAGATGTGACAATAGCCATCATATCACACCTAATCAAAAGTTGATGAAATACAAAAAGATCATGTTGATGTCACAGGTGTTTCCTGTTGAGGAGTCTGCAGTTAAATATCATTTCTGCCAAACTCTGGCCTGCTCTTCAGCTTTACTTTGCAATTGGTTGAGGATAAAGCTAAGTACAACTTCACTAGGATGGCTTATCAAGCTGATAGAACTGTCTTTTTGGCATTGTCAGAGATTCCCTTTTAGGAGTAGGAGTAGACAGAGCTCACTTTTTGGCCAATTCTTCTGGAAAGATTCTTTCAAAGCCTTTGTCAGCATTTTACCCCTTGTTGTTCAGCAGTTCTGCAAGAATGTTCATCTTGAGCAACTTGCATGTTTTAAGACTCTGCTCTGCTGATTCCACTTCCTCACTTATCACAGGAAAACTTTTGATAATCTGGGTCTCTGAGTATGGAAATGTCTAGGCAGAGCTCATAATTACATCGACATTTGTAACATTGAATCTACTTCATTAGGACTTTGTCAGTTTGCAGTATTTGTCTTCAATAGCAGCAGCTCTGGATTGGTTGGTCCTCATGATAGCTTTCAGCATGCTAGAAACCTGATCTTTGTTATCTTCCAAATTTTCTTGATGAAAATGCACTGCAATTGTCTTAGAAAGGTTTTTTTATTTAATTTGCTTTAAAATTAAGCTGAATCATTAAGGCTAGGCCTAATTCCTATGAATAGTTTTCATGATGCAATTTAACCTTTAGCACTCTACATTATTAACATTACTTCCCTTTCCACTGCATTCTTTTTCAAGGCCTTTCAGTTGCAGTATGCTTATTGCTAATTTAACTCAAAGTCGTTTTCTGTTGCCATAGTAGAATATGACAATCCAACTATGAAATCCAAACACAATATTGTTCAGGGATCAGAGCCAGCTTCAGTAGCAGGATAAACTTTTTGTACAGCAAATGAAGTCACATACAGAGTGATAAAGGTTAAAAACATGAATGTTGAAATGAGGATATGAAAAAAAAAAAACACAAGAACAACAACTGTGAAACTAAAACCTCAATCATTTCTTCTGAACCAAAAAAAGTGAAAAAGTAAACATGGAGCCTTTCTTACCTGGTTCAACAGTTTCCAAAGGTACAAAGACATCCGAGAGGGAAATTGGTTCCTTAGGCAGGATGGTTGGGGAGTTAGAGCCAATGCTGAGCGTGTCAGCACATGACTCTTGGGAGGTTGGCACCAGAAGGGTTGGACTAGGAGACAAAATACTTCCAGTAGAACCAACAGCTACTGTACCATTGAAGAGATCATTTAGTGTGCTGTCAGCAGTGATCGTGCTCATAGTGGATGTTGTAGTCGTGGTTGCAAGGCTACTGACCACTGATGGTGTTGGACTGGAAGACCTGCACAGGATAATGAAATATGCAAACATGATTTATTTATAAAGAACTTCTTTCTGTATGTATTCCTCATGCATTCATTAAGTTGAGATTTTCTGAGAAATTTTCACACAGATCAATTTGGTTTTACTTTTTTCAGCTATTTTGTAATACTAAAGTGATATGTTCAAACTAAAAATAAGCAGTACATTCTGGGAGGACCAATTTTTTTCTATTGAAATGGAAGGCTATTTCTTTATGAAAAAAATTTAGTGACATCAGAACATCAGACAAAATACTGCCAAATAAGTCATCCACTCCAATCTGATTTTTATCTCTGCCACTCAATTAACAACAGATAAAAGAAAAGGGATGATTAATGAACTACAGAATTTTTGTTGAATATACTAAAGATAAAATATTTTTATATACACACATATGCAGATATATGATTAAATAAGTGTTGGTTTCAATCTCTGGGAATTGTTGCAAAACACTCCCCATTTTAAAGGCAGAACTACACAAAATCATGCTGAGATTTTTTCCTAGCAAATAAAATAGGCCAGTCCTCGATTTCATTTGACTCTGTCCCAGTCTGTCTTGTCAGAACATCACATTCATTTGTCCAAACTTGCTTTCGTGTGTCAATGTCAATTCTTAGTTTATGAACTTTTTGACATATTACTGTTGTTTTGCCTTATTACTGTTAATTTGCCTTACATGTTTGCCTGATTTTATATTATTTTTTGATGCTCTGTTCTTTTCTTTTTCTTGTTATTGCAAACTTTATCAATTCTGTTTATTGGACAGTTCTGTTACTTATTTTGCATTTGACCATGGCTACTCACTCCACAATAACAGACAAAAAAAATGTTTATAAATTTAACATGTTTCACTTTTATTTTAGCTTCATCAGAAATTTTGGGGAAATAAATTATGAAAGAGAAAGTTACAGTATTTCAAATTCTATGCTATTTGTTTTCAGAATTCAAAATAACAAAACATTCTTTCATAATTTTTGCCTAAATTCTATGAAACTAAAATAAAAGTGAAACCTGTTAAATTTATAAATGTTTTTCTAGTTGTTCCTTATTTGATCATTGTTAGATTTAACCCATAGTTTTTTTTTTTCAACTATATATAGATAGATAGAATTAAAATGAAAAAGTATTTAGGTACCAAAATTGTTCATTCTTTTTCTGTAGTTTACTAATGGAAAGGCATTTTAGGCAGGCAGGTATTTGTCATAAAGTGATCAATATCAAAAAGGTAAGGAGGGAGTGTTAATAGAAAAAATAAAAACCCACACACCAAGCCCACAAAGGAATATACATACACACAAATATCAGCAAATATAAAAAAAAAAAAATATATATATATATATATATATATATATATATATATATATATATATATATACAAAAAACAAAAATCTGAATATGCATTTATGTAGTATTAATGTTAAAATAAAGTCGACGTCGGACGTTTCGGTCTATTTAAGACCATCTTCATGAACATTTTCATTTAAACATAATTAACATTAGAACTTATAAAAATTTAACACAACATAATTGCATATTCAGATTTTTGTTTTTTCTGTATTTTTCTTTCAAACTGTCGGATTTATATCCATATATTTGCTTATATATATATATATATATATATATATATATATACACTGACATAGTAAAAAGAGGTCAGCTCAATACAGTAAAAAGAAGCCAGAAGAGCAGTAGCAGCAGAGAAGCCAATAGCCCTGAAGAGTGAAGGCATTACTACAACGTGCTCATGAAACTTCAAAGTTGGTATGACTGAAATAATGCCACTCAGTTAAGTGATAAGTTTCTCTGCATTAATTCACATATATATATATATATATATATATAATATAATATCCCCCCCCCAACAATTACAATAAATATTGTTTACTTATTTTTGAGCAGTTTGGTGGGAGACATGATACAAGTTTGGAAATGGTTTCAAGATAAACAAAAATATTCTTAACAATAATCTTAGGAATTATTCTCTTCATTCAATTAATTCAAAAGTTTACTTCAAAAAGGTCAAATCTTTTTGAAAAGACAATAAGATAATAGATAAATGAAAACTAAAAGCAAACTATTAAAAGATCAGAAAAATCAACAAAACTATTCCAAACTCTGCACATCACTTAAGAATTTAATAATGCATAGAAATAGTTTAAATATCTAATAAAAATTTAAATAATAGTACATATGAGTGTAACATTAAAACCATAAAAGTTGTTCTACTTAAGTTGTAAGAGTTAATATATTAACTCCCTCTAAATATACAAACTGCTGTAAGGAAAGAACAGATATCAATGCCAAAATTAATGGTTATTCTATGCACTTTCAATACAATGTTACACTTTTCAGACTTCATTTTATATTCTCTAGCATTTAAAAAAAAAAAAAAAAAAAAAAAAATGGAAGATTAAATTTTAAATTGTTAAAAAGTAAAATTTCAGGAAGAAAAAAATTAAGACTCTAACCACTTAATTCACATAGCTGCATTAAAATACTATTCCAAGGGAAACAACCCATTTTTGACTTATTAAATGAAGAGATTTCGTGTTAATCGAATACTGTATAATGATTCTGAATCTGTACTTGAAATTTTACTAGCAGTTCAATGAATTTATATAGGTACCTCCAAATACTAAAAAAAAGGATACATGATGATAAAATGCACAAAAACAAAATTTTATCTTCAAAACATTTGTGTTATTATTAAGATGAAAAATCAAAGGACTTTTTGATGCAAAAAATTATTTTTTATCTATTTAGAATCTTGGAAAATGTGGTTGAAAATGTTTTTCACACATAAATACAGGACCATAAATTTGCTCAGAAAATTTGAACGTCTTGTGTTAAAAAATCATATTGATTTTGAAATTATTGGAAAAATTAGATAATCATTGAATTTTAATGAAACTTTCCAAACTTATTCAAAAATAAATTAAATTAATTTTGAAATGTTTCAAATGATTGCAATCTACTGAACAAAACTACAATTATGCAAAATTATTTCCTAACTTGTCTAACCTTGAATAGGAACAATACACACTGTCATTAATAAGTTTTGAATAAAACAAATTTGAATGGCATAAGCAAATAAATTCTAAGCAAAGAATGAATAAAAAATAGATAAAACACTTACACAGCAGACACCAAATTTGATTTATCTTTAGAAAGTGACTGTTGCATCATGGTTTGTCCCAAGATGTCTAACTCCTCCATGGCTTTCTTCTGAGAGTCTGTGATTGTGTTCTGGCAAGTAGCATTGGTACCTGCTTGAGATGTCTTTGATATAAGAGAGTCTGCAGACATAGGTGTAATGATGCTGCTTGATGAGGATAGAGGGCTGCTGAAAACCTGAGGTTTGGCCATTGAACCTAAGCAAAAAATATCCAACAGACTTAACAAATCTTAACTGATTAGTGTAGACAGGAGAGAGAGAGAGAAAGGTTTAATTAAAGACTCTAAATAATTAATGCAACAACAAATGATAACCACTCATAAAAATTACTAATGATGCGGATTTTAATTCCAGGTCTTAAAATGCAGAAAATATCTGCATAATGTTTGATGTACAATGAAAATAAGCAAATTTGTTGAATACTTTATCTTTTATGAACCTGATACTAAGCTGTGCAAAAACGGAATTTCAAAGAGTGAAACTAGTCAATCTTGTTTGCAATAATGGCATCCCAAATTTCCAGGAACTGGTTCTATAAAGGCAGGTAATCTTTAGGAACCTATTCTGACTATTTTCTTTCCAATCTGAGAATGGAAACAAATAACTTATAGCATCAAAAAGAATTAAACCATTTTGATAATTTAAGAGAAAAAAATTTATTTATTAAAATATTCCCAGATTGAAATTCTGTTCTCATCATATTTCTATTCAGAAGTATAATGTTTTTTGACTCTAATGTCATCAATTGTGTTATGGTTTCTTAGCTACATTTGAACTGAATAGCTGCAGCTCTAAAGATCCACATCTTTAACTTCAAGACAATTTTTGTCAGAATAAATTATGTTAATCATAGAAAACCTTCTTTCAGTCTCCACAGAACTTATAGCAATGGTATTAATTATATTTTTAGCTATTATGTATCAGCTGATTATTTTTGGATAATCCAACAACCAGTTCACTAAGCTTATATAATTTTAAGAATCGGTTCACATTAAGTAAATAATATTATTCTAACACTGTTAAATAACTGACACTTATATGGCTCACATGGTAATTTTGCATATTCTAATGTTCTTGATTAACACAGTGAACAATACTATCCTTTTCAATATATTCTTAAGAGAGTTTGTAATATTCTAAGCCAAAAAGACCAAGTAAAGTCTCTAACCAGACATAAGAAGTCCACTGGTGGTTGTCGTTGAATTTGACATGGTTTGTGTCAATCCAGTAAACACAGATGATGTTGACATATTAGCCATGGCATTAGAGCCACTCAGATTATAAACAGGAGGCTGGCTTCCACTTGTTGGTAATAAAGTAGTTGAAGGAGTTACATTGCCAAATGTCTGAAATTATAAGAAAATCAGAAATTGTTTATTTAACATAATAATGGTAATAAGATAGCTTTACCCCAAGTGATGTAGAAAAAAAAAAGAAACACCTGAATTAGTTACCAGAAAACACAAGCGTAACTTTACACTTCATCATGACATAGAGATTCCCCACTGGAGACTACTACATGGTCCAGATCCCAATCACAAAATAGCAGTATAGTAGCCCTGATATTATATGCACCTGTTGATAGGATAGCCTCCATAGGAGTTACTCTAAGGTTCAGATCCCTAGCTCTTAGGAAGATAATGCCAGTGTAGAGAAGTGTTTACCTCCAGCACTTTTGATGAAGAGGCAACCAATCCAGGTTTGAGAAGAAATTACAGGCATACCACCTGAAGTGAAACCATAACGTTAACCCAGGAATCATGCAGCAGAACTTCTACATGGGTCAGAAACATCATGCCTAAGCACCAAGACAGGCTTGCTCAATTGTGAGAACTAAAGGACCCACTAGGAGAAGCAGGGGTTACAAAGGTTTATTGGAGATGAGCTGACATCTCCCTTGGCTTAATGCTCTGTCAAAAAGCCTTGGCTGTATAGAAAGTTAATTTTCATTTGTTATTCAGATAGATATTCAAATTATATTCATAACAAAACACCAACATTTACCAAATACAATTTTTACATGATAAAAACTACTGACTTACAAATCTTAAATAAAAAAAAATTATTTTAGTAAACATTCCAAATCCATTTACTCACTCCTGTTGGAGAAACCACTCCCTGATTGACTATGTCTTCAGGAGCATAGCCATAACTGACCACACTAGATCAATTGTGGGTTGGGGTGGATGGCCGTTGACTCTGAGAGTCCGGCCTTTAACAGCTCTCGCTTTTTTGTGTTGCTGGGGTTCAACTTACACTCCTCATCAGACCAGGGTTAAGCGAGGGATCCGGCTTAGTAAGCGACCACTCAAACTTTTGAATTCAGAGTTGTCCTCCTCCAAGATCAAATGCCACTCAAGGCTCTAGGACCCAGTTTGTCTTGCTATTTACCCATGGCTGGTTGGAGAAAAGATGGATTCATGCCTTTCCCAATGGTATTAGCATGTAAGTGAATGTAACAAACTCAACTGGAATTTGAACTCAATCTGAGCCACTATCCATAACTCCACAGTGCCTTCCAATAGTAAACAGCATGGAAAATTAATCGATAATTTTAACCTTTGTATAAGTAACTATTTTTTTTTTTTTTTTGCATAGAGCCAGATCATGCTAAAAAACTGAACTCCATTGAAAGGAATATCAGAGGCACATTTGGTAATTAAGGAATTCTCAGGGAAAATGAATCAAAAGTTTAAGGCAGCTGTATACAATTTAGCTATAACACATACACTTTTTATGTAATTACAAAAAGACAAAATCATAATTTTATCTTTGAATCAACAATTTTATTTTTTTTTTTTTTTACTTCTTTGTTTTTATCTTGATACAAATGTACACAAGAGTTGATAAATAATACAAGTAGATCCATCCACTCCAATGATGCCTTTAATTAACACTCCATTGTCTTCAAAATCTACAGCAGATGATTTTAAATATTCCTTACAAGAAACCATGGTTCAGTCTGAGACTGAAATGAAATCATTATGACTTACTGCTGAAGTTCCAAAGATATCACTCAACTGATCCAAAGTAGAACTGCTCTCTTGGCTGGGATTGGTCAAGGACGGAGCCAATGCAGGCTTCACATCTGACGTGTCACTGAGACCTGAAATCAAAACAGACCAAAACAGAAATAAATATAGGTAATGAAAACTAACCCAGCTAAAGTAAAAACAATTAAAAACTATTAAGTAGTTTTTAATTGTTTTTTTTTTTTAGCATTATTGCTGAAAGAGCTGATTTATTTGTGAACAGTGATAAGGTTTCTTAACTAAAAGTGACCAATTACTTACCCAGTGCCAAAAGTTGCTCATCTAGAATAGAAGCTCCAGTCCCAGATTCATTATTAACTGGTGCTTGTTTGCTTGGGGAGCTGGTACTTTGGTCAAAGCTGAGGTCAAGCAAAGAATGATTGCCAAGGTCTGAAAAGAAAAATCAGATAAGTTTCAAAATCTTACTAACCACTCTTAAGAGTTTAATTTTTTTTTTTTATGGGAGTCAACATAGTTTGAAATTACTGCACTTACAATGATGTCTCATATTGTTGTATAGCCCCTCATGCTGGGGTCTCTTTGTCACTGTGCAAATTAATACAGCATTGTATCTTCTCTCTCTCTCTTCTCTTAGCTGGTGATCACTAGTTGTTTTGGACAGAGATGAAAGAACTTCAACAAAGGGAATTTTAAACTTAACTATTTTATGAACACATCAACATATACATTTCTAACTCACCAGTGGGGTTGCTCTCCAACCCCACTAAGAAGCTGCTTCCAGACATGACAGAGAACACATCTACATTCTTTGACAATTAAGCAACAACTGTCTGAAAACCCTTTCTCTGGATCTATCATTCCCATGCTGGCTCAGCCAATCAAAATTAACTTCCTTTGTTTTGTATTGTATCTGACACCTAAGGTCAAACTGAGGAAGTCAGAGCAGAAATACACTTTTTTTTTCTTTTTTACAAAAATGTACTGACAGTAATTTTTTTACTATGAAAATGCATTGCTAGTATTTTCACTATAAAAATGTGTTTTTATACTTTCATAGTGTTTGTCCCCAGTTTGAGGGCTAACTATTTGTCCATAGATGCTACCACCCCGAGTCAGGGTGAACCTGGAAACAACAGCAATTAAGAGGTGGTTCCACACTCCTCAAAACCTCCAATCTCCCAATCAAAAGCCTTGCTGCCAGATGTAGTTTAATATCATACCCAGGACAAGCATCTAATGTTTTTAAGTGCAGAGAATCCTAATTTGCAGAGGTATAATGTGGAAAACTGCAATAAAATATTCAGTGGTTTACTAGTTCTTCGTTAAGGGAAATCCAGAATTATGCAATGGACACCTCTTTATACTTGATTTGTAATCAGCAGATACAGTGACCAGCTCCTCTTCTGTTGATAATAAGTCAGCATTATCAGTTGAAGTATCAATTGACTTAGACATGGAAGCTATGTACTTGGTGTCTCTAGCTTTTTAACTATAAAAATAATTTGTAAATTACTCTTCTGTTTATTTGGAGCACACCTGGCTACATTTCATAGAATATTGGTTAAGAAATGCTACTCTGAATATACTTGATGATAAAATGAATGCATTCTAAAATAAGTTTTTAACAGCATTTTTTGTGAATAATAATAAACAAATGCCCAATTTCAATCTAGATTACTGGACCAAGACTTACCAGATGATCCATCTACTTTCATTTTATATTGATTCATAACTTTCATGACATCATCATTGGCTCTTAAAATATCACCTGCAAAAGAAGAGAAAAAAAAGTCAGAATATCTATCAAAGCATTTAATTAATGTCACAATATTTCTCTGGCCATTGTTGCTTTTAATTTGTTTATATATACAAGCAAAAACCGGCAAAAATACCACAGTATTTTTTTTTCACATTGATTTGTCCCACATTAGTTAAAGAAGATGGTACAAATGAAAACATACAGAACTGACATATTTTATGTTTCAATGAAGAAGATATTAAATACATGATAGTGTTATCATCTCCTTTGTCTTCTCTTTGTATTTTTCTTCCTTATATATGTTTTTCTTTTCTCCCTAAAACCAGTCTGTGATATATTTTTCTTCCATCCCAATCTGAGGTAATGAAATAAGTAGATACTTACCACAAGGCTTGTTTTAATACCTTTATTTCTAGTAACACATATATATATATATATATATACAGCTTCAATGTATCCCAGAGTGCGGCTAATCAGAAGTAAACAAAAGGATTAGCTAACCAACTGCTTTCTCTTCACAGACTGACAAGAGAATGGTTGAAAATACTAGAACGAATAAGAACTTTAGAGAATTCCATTCATTAAGAGAGATAAAAAGAGAGAAAGAATTTTTACAAACTCCATATTACAGAGCTAAAGAGACTGACACTATAAACAATACGTTTCCTTGATTTCTTCACTGACATCTTTTGATGCAATCTATATCACCATCAAAACTTTTTCGTGAGTCCTTCCTTAAGTGTCATGCAAGATTGGGTAATCAGGTCTCTTTTCGATTCATGATTGACTTGGAAGAAAAATTCTCACAGTAAGCTTTCTGTGGCAGACTTGTTGCCATCCAAGGCTACAGAACCCAGTCTGTCCTGCTATTTAACTGATAACTGTAGTCACCCATCTAGATACTGACCAGGCTCAACATTGCTTCTCTTTGATGATCAGCTGAGAATTGGTATTTCAACAAACTTTTTCAGAATTACATGATCTAAAAGCAGCATCTTGTTGCTTTTATATAATCTATAGTTCTATTTTAAAATATGGATATTACATATTAATTAATCATAAGTCTTTTTGAAATAACAGCAAGATAGAGAAGGTTTTCCCCATGTCATGCTGGTTTCTACACAAATAGTGAAAAGTTAACAAGAAAAAGAAAGATGAGAGAAAATCTCAAGAATAATGAAAAGCTAAAGACAAACAAGAAAATTTTATTTATTTTAGACTAGGAATAAATAGGTTTCTCTATCGACCAGTTCATACTTCTTTCATGTCTTTTGAACAGGAGTAGAGGTTTATACCATTTCATATTTAGGATTGGGTTTCCAGTTCCTTCTCTTAAAGTCTTCTCATTCTCTTTCACTCACAGTAATCCCTTGTGTCTTAGTGGCGTTATCACCTTACTTGAGGTGAAATTATAAAAAAAAAAAAAAAAAAGTTTTTTTTTAATTACAAATCTTAAAAAATTATGCAGGGAAAGATAAACAATATAAATTAGAGAAACATTTTATAATGCTTAATGCAATAAAAGCAACCTAAAGAACTGTAAAAGTATTTAACATCATGGAAGAAGTTTTCAGGGTTTTATGCCCTTAAATTTACACATGTAGAAAATCTAAAGCAAATGTGTACATTGTAATTTATTTCCAGTCTTTTATCTACTAAACATGTAATTAAAAAAAGCAGGGAGCAAAAGTTACTTACTAATTCCATCATTATCACGTTCATCTGTATCACTGGCCAACCGGAATAAATTGGGCCTAAGTTTTTCTAAGGTTTCATACAATTCCTGGAAATAAGAAATTGAAGAAGAAAAAAATTACAATAAAAAAAGAATTTTTTTCTCTATTTTTTATGAGATATTTCATAATTAGATTAAATTCTATATTACAACAATATCAATTTTTTTTCTTTTTGAGGAAGGTCTAAATCAGTCAACCATTAAAATATTTTCAACAGATGAAATGACAAATCATTCATAGAAAAGGTGGTGCCAAATGCCATTGGCAGATTTGGGTGTGAATTCTAGTCCCACTGCTACTTACTTTTTTGTTTTCTTTATCACATGCTTTTACTGTGATATTTTTTTTTTCTTTAAGATTAATTAAAAGGCACAGTTTTTTTTTTCTTTTTTTTCTTGTGAGATTTTCTTATCACTAACCCAGATACTACAGATATCCAATGATTGCTGGCACCCTGGACAAGCTAAATTTTGGCACCCTTACAACTATAGTTTTTTTAAATTTTCACAAGGAGAAAAACTGAAAATGTAGAATAAGCAGTTTATTACAATATACAACTTAATACAAACTAAAGAAAACATTCATTATCTTACTTTTTAAGTAAGATAATGAATGTTTTTAGAATTTAGATCTGCAAATATTTTCATAGCATTTTCTATACCTATCTTCTTTGCAAGATCATTTTCTATTGACAAAATAGCCAAATGATTTAATCTGTCTTGAGTCATGGATGACCACAGGTATGTTTTTATAAGCTTTAGTTTTGGAAGATCCCAAACACATGACATGGTGGCCTTGATGGTGCCCCAGGTGACTGCCCAAGTTGCCAGTACCTTGAGCCATCCCTGTAGATAATAGTGATGATAAATAATAATGATACAGAATACTAAATCCCCCCCCAACACACACTGATTTTAAAGGGGTTGGGTTTTAATATCTACATCTACCTCTCAATCTTATCCTCTTTCTACCATATATTAATGACCCACCTAAGGGTATACTCTGATTATTAGTATCTATACAGATGATACAACAGTTTATAGGTGTACCTCGAAACATCTGGATGACATCTGGTTTATAAAAACTCAATATGGTCAAAACCAAACTAGTATTGCTCCACCACCACCAATAAGCAGACCCTAAACTTTCAACTACCTTGATGGATAAGACTTCTCTTAAGGAGGTTCCTTTCCTTGAATGCCTGTTGAGATTCAAGTTCTCCTCAGACCACAAGTAGAACTCATATCTGACCTATTGCTAAAGATGCTGAAAATCTGGTCGGTTTACTCCAGTATATGACTTCCTTTGCTATACTCTATCTTTACAAGAGCCAGATCATGCCAAAAATGGATTATATGCCACCTTATCTGAGCTGAAGCTGCACATTCATCACTTGTCGATAAACATCAAAGTGTCTACACGGTCTTATGAATGATGAATTATTTTCCACCTTAGAATTCTTTACCCACAGATGAAATATCACTAGCCTCTCACTGCTCTATCACTATTTCCAAGGCATATGTTCTAACAAGCTATATCCCTTGGTCCTACCACCCCTGACCTTTACAACTGGGACCCTGCCCTGTCATGTATACAAGTCTAAATCATCACCTTCCCTTCATATTCCAACAGTAAGAAGCAAGTTCCATTTGGACAGATTCTTTCCAAGAACTGATAGCTTGTAGAACAGACTCTCATTAGGTTTTCCCAATCCCTACAATTTTAACTTCTTCCAGTCTAGAGTTAGCCATTGTCTTTCCTACATAAACCCATGCCTTTTCTTACGTGCATGCAACACCACACAATAACTCTCTACCTTGTGTGGCTCTTGGGTTTTGTATTAGGTGAACATTAGTATAATTTTTTTTTTTCATAAATAAAATCTTTTAAAAGGATTGGGGAATAACTTTAAAATGTAAATATGTTTAGTTTTATTAAACATTTACAACAGCCAACCAAATGACCTTAAAATTTCTTTGTTGCATTCAAATTATATTTTATGTATTTTTTTATTGTTGTAAGGAAAAAAGCTTGAACAAAATTATTATTTCTTTATCCATTTACAAGTCTAAGGTTAAATAAAATAAAAATAATAATTAAATCTTTCAAAAAAATTGAAATAATCAGGTTTGCATGAATGTGTAATATGGACCAACTGAAGCAATTTCTACATATTCATGGTTTCATTTGACAGAAAGAACTAAAAATTACCGGAATTTTAATGATTTCTTGTTTTGGTGTTACACAAGAGTTATGATATGACTGGCCTCATAAACAAGATAATTCTTTTCTATGTTAATTCAGCATAAAGACAGAAATAGATTCTTATTCATATCCCTACATTAAAATAGCTTCTTTAATGTGATATTGGACTTTTTCATTGCAGCCCACAGTGCCCATCCTTCTACTATTTCACTCTTGTGCGTCTCTTACAAATCCACTGCCAACATCAAAAGAAAAAGAAAACAAATTGCACCTACCTTCATTGTGTCAGTATCACTTTGCGTAGCAGATTCTGAACTGTAATGTTCAAGCATCTCTGACAATACACTAACATTATTATTGATGGTTTCTAATTCAGACATCCGCTTTGATATTTTGTCCATCCGATCTGCATCCTACAGAGAAAGGAATAAGTTTGAAATATTTCAAGATTAAATCATCATATCAAGCACATGATGATATCTCATTTACAACTAACATTTATTTAGACACTGCCAGTAGAAAAAAATAAAACAAAGTATTTTTAGAATTATTTAGAAATTAGATTGCAGATCTTTTGTGTGTGTGTGTGTGTGAAGGGTAATATGCATTACATCATCAGTTTTACTGCTAACTGCATTGTAAATAAGTTCTGAATAAAATAGTGACATTCTGCTGGTTGGACTCAGAGACTCGTTATATTTTTATTTTAAAATGAATTTCATAAAACAACCCACAAGTGTATCCTGATCAAATATCAATTACAACAAGCATTTTTCTAAGAATTATTTTCAACCTTTATTAAATTATTTTAAAGTAAAATTCAAAGACCTAAGTTTAAAAAAGATTTTAGTTTCCAACAAAATCAAAAGACTTATTCAATTGACTAGACGCACACACACACAAAATCAGCAATAATCATAAGACAGAGCTATTTAAGGAGTTACGCACCCAAAAGTTTAGTAGTAAAGCAGCTACAAACCTGCTGGACCATGTTTTTTATCAGCCGATTAGCTGCCTGGAGATCTTCTGGGTTCTTACTTTTGAGTAACCGAGATAAAAGCTGGAATAAAGATAAAAAACCATTAGTAAAAATCAAATACTCAAGTTTTAAAATAGTCATTCTTTGAAATATTAATTCTTACAGATTTATAGATATATATTTTTTTACCTTGCTTAATATTCATAATTAATGGGTCTTTCAGTATGGTGAAGCACAAATAATAGTTTCAATACAAAAAAATACAAAACAAAAATTATAGAAAAAAAATATATTTTTATACTAAAGGAATCCAAGTGATCCACCTTCAGCTGACTAATGTTTCAAGATAAATTACTCTAATAGCATTTAATCCAGATTAGTATAAAAGAATTTTTACATTCTCCATTAATTATTAAACGTTAACATTATCTTGAAATATTTACTACAATTATGCAACATTAAAAAAATAGTTACTGAATATAACAAAAATGTACATCTGAAATATTAACTCCAGGAGTTAAAGTAGACATGATTTTTTTTTTTTTTTACAATGATGTTCACTTTGTACAAGGCCCAAGAGCCACTCGAGGTAGAGTGTTACAGAGTAAAAGGCATGGTTTATTGGCATATGTGGAAAAGATAATTGCTAACATCAGACTTGAACAGAATAAGATTGTGGAAGTATCCTCTTGGGAGTTGGTTCAACAAAGCAGTGGTTCATGAGAAGCTGCTTGAGTGGAATTTACATCTCCCCAATGGAATAAAAAGGGAATAGGTGATTAAATAAACAATACCTCTATAAAGATCAATGAAACAGCACAAAAAAAAGGACCTGCCAAAATTATATTAATCACATGCATTTGAATTGTTTGCAATCAGTCCTAACCTAACATTTCAACTTTAATCACTTTCTCATGGCTATAACATTTTCTATAAATATTTTCATGGCAATTTTCTAATAAGCTTACCTCTTTCATATCTCAACTTTATGAATTTATGCATAGTACTAAATTGGCAGATAGGTCTCATCATTTTACAATTGAAATTGCTAAACATAAGTTCTATTCTAATATTTTCTTCTCTCATATTTCTTGCCTGTGAAACTCTCTTCTAGCTTCTTCCTTTCCTGTCAATTACAATCATCAAAAATTTAAATGCTAAGTCAATAGTCATTTGTCTTTTTGAATTCTGTTCTTTTATTGTCCTTTCTCCTCAATAAAGTTTTCTCAGTTTCTTTAATTTTCTATAACTCCTTGCATCTTAGTGACTTTACTAGCTTACTTAGGGTGAAATGATAAAAATAAATAAATATTGAATAGAGTTACAATAATATTGAAGCTATTTTCCCAATCATTTGAAATCATTCACCAATAAAGTTACATTGCATTTTCTGCTTGAATTTTTTTTTTAACTAGCTATCCTCATCTTTGTTGTTCCAACAAAAAAAGTTAGTACACTTTTTCGAATTCCTCATGATTATGTCACATCCAGAAATCCCTTGGATTGCATCATGTTCAGCCTTCTTCCAAATGATTTGAACTCCTGTCTACTGCTCCTCCAACAAAATGCTGCATCCTACATTGTCAGTTTGTATTCTGCATTATAGTGTCAAATAAAACATTTGGGAGTTGGAAATACATTGCTCAGGCGTTCTTTTGAGAAAAGGTTGCAATATGGTGCTTATTTTTATGCTAGGCTTACTGATAAGATTAGTCAACCGTAATATATGAAGATACACTTTTTGCATTTCCCCGTTTCTTTTCACAAGACAAGAAGCAAAGGATAACAACAGGGTCATAGAGACAACAAAAAAGTTTCTGTTCAAGTTACTAGATAAACACACCATCAAAAGGCTTTCATCTGAAACAACAAAAAACAGAGAAGGTTGCACATCTAATCAAAAAATGCCAAATAGATTAAGTTTTTCAAAGAAATGTTCTTGATACCTAATAGAATAAGAACAATATCAAATATTCTGATCTAACTTAAAAGCTTTGATAATGACAGAATACTATAAATAATAATGTACTAAATGACTTCAAAATATTTTATTCTTATGTGTAAGTTGACCTTTGGTTTGAAATTTTATAAGTCAGCGAATAATCAAAATTTTAACGATTCTACATGAGTTATCGCCCTTAGACTTAGCAATTTTCCCCTTCAAATACTGATTTAAGTACTTGGAGCAGCATGATTTGTTATGTGTGTTATATCTAATAGTAGTTTTCTAAGCGTAGCTGAGATGTGGCACACAGCCGAAAGTTTGGAGCACCCAGTGAAGATCGAACTCACTATTCAGTCATAATCGATCTCACAAGACAAACTTGTTAACCATTACACCACGTCAAAAGTGACCAAAGTGTTATATGTAATGCCTTTTAAATAATCAGAACAAAATTAAAGTGGGTAAAAGTGGGTTAAATGTCTAAAGACTGCATTTAAATCAAGGTATTTAGATTTCACTTACCTTGGCTTTTTCTTCATCTTCAAATAATGCATTTTTGGGTCTGGGAGGAGGCATTGGGCTGACATTCAGAGTCTGCAAGAATTCATCAACAAAAAGAAAAGAAAAAAAGAATATTCATTTAGCATTTGAAATTTCAAATTTTACTTAATGACAAATAATACAAAACAAGCCATACCAATTAAAGAAAGATAACTACTAAATGACTGTAATAGTGCAAATGAACATTTTCTTATATTTTTTTTTTATTTCTTAAATTTCAATATCATATAACAGGCTTAGTTCAAATAATGACATTTCATCAGGTATTTAAACTTTAAATCCTGAGAAGGTGGGAATGACCTCCAATTTTTATTCTTAAGAAGTTGGTTGAAGTGATCAAGTGACTTTACGCAAAGAGTTGTGAGTTCAATACCTGGCCACAACAGAGGTGAACAAAAACTTGGAGAGTTGAGTTACTTAAGGGAATTAACTGAAACTGAGATATCCAGAAAAGGACTGGTACATGGAACTAGAACAATCTACCCCAGTTGAAATTCCAGTGTATATTACCTGTAGAAGGCCAGAGTGTACAACAGCCAAAACATCATGAATTTGGCAATAAAGATGAGGGCAATAGTCTGAACAATGTAAATAGTTACAATAACTCATCTCAGAAATATAGACAGATGCAGACATTTAAAACTTGGAACTGAAGCTTACCCAATGGAAACCAATGTATACAATACAATTGACTCCTTATATTGCTGCTTATTTCAGCAGTTGTGCCCTCCAGCCTTCTGAGTAACCTACAGGAAATTCTGAACTGAACACTTTATTTAACCTATGGAGGTAGACTGTCCTCGTTCCACAGCCTGTGCTTAGGGATATCTCATCTAGTTCTTATTTTTAGTACTGCTCAGTTATTGATCACCCTGTTTCCATTGAGTCCAAGAACACACTGCCCAGCCAATGGGATTGAACTCACAATTACTAAATAATTAGATTAAATAAAGAGTTCAGTTCAGAATTTCCTGTAGGTTACTCAGATCAATATCCACCTGAAGAAGGCTGGAGAGCACAACAGCTGAAATGTTGTGATGAGGACAATAGTCTGAATATAAATAGTGTAAATAAGATTTAAATAATTTTTTTAAAATTTTATTAGGTTGATACAAAAATTCCTTGCATGTTTATTTAAAGAAGTTGTATCATCATCATGCTCTTTTTGCTGACTTTTTATGACATTATGCTATCTTTCAAGTAAAGTGCATATTCCATCACAAAAAGATTCTAGTTTTAATTCAATTAATTTTATAATCATTTTCTTATCTTCAACATGGAACTGCTGACCTGATGTGGATTGTTAGATAGAGTGAGGAAAGGGACATCTTGAAGGTGATGTGTTTGGAGAACATAATGAATAGGAAAGTACTTCCCATTTGCATGTATGACAAACATTTCCATGCTTTAACAAGATGGTTCATAACTCAATCATGGAGAGCCCCAAGGAGGCTTGACAGTGGTCAATGAACAGTGTAGAAAGGCCTAGTTTTATGGCACAGAACCAGAGAAAAATGTGAGAGAAAGCTTTTTATTCAGTGATTATTGGAATTAAATGTGGAGAAAGACCTAATCAAGAAAATAAATTTATTTTGAGAAATTTGCCAGATTGAGAGGTTCTTACGGAATCAAAACCAAATATTAACCTGAAGGTAACAACTTCATATAACTGGATGTAGACTGTTATATAAAAGGGAGAAATTAAATCAACATTTTTCTTTCTGCATGCTAATGACAGTGTTTATGATAATATTTAAAACAAATACATCTATGATACATAGTAAAGAAAATTTGTTTTAAAAATAATTTTATTTTCTATTCAACCCCAGTTGAATTCTTTGTAGGAAAATGAGGATATTCATCATCTTAGCAAGATAAGAGAAACTTATTAAACCCAAAGATTTGCATAAAATCAATATATCTTTACAAAGTGCTGGTAACATATATGGATCATCTAAAATAAATGAATTTACATTTCCACATAAGAATTGCTTAATTAATGCAAGGAAGTAATTTACCAATCAAAAAATGATTAATCTTATTAAATTATTGTTGGAAAACAAGAAAACCTATTCTAGTTAAGAGAATCAAATCCACAACTTAGAAACGTGAATTCTGCAAAATGCTAACAGCAGCAATCAAGGATTCACTATGTCATTTAAAAGGGAGGAGAAAATGCTGATATAGCACAAAATTATTGTCTCTTCTTTGCCTGTCTATGTGTAGAAAGAACCTTTCACAAATATGGCATACAAGAGAACCAAAGAAAATCATACCAAAAATTAAAACACAAATTACATATTTTTATATTGCTAAACACTGCATAACATAACTATTAGTAATAGAATAGTATATAAAAATGAATATGTAGGGGAGAGCTAAAGGGGCATTTTTAAGAATCCTGAAAAGAAATGAGAGAGTTCTATTTTTTTAAGTTATGTCACATAATACAAGTAATAGCAGAAAGACTTCAATGTAAAATAATAAAACATTTAATTACCAAACACAATAAAAATAAATTAACAACAAAGAAGTAAAGAGCCAACGAAAAGATTATTGATTACTTATCAGTTAATACACAACTGCATAGAACTGTTAAGAAAGTACTAATTCATCTTGAAACATGGGACACTCAATTTAACGTCCAGGTTAACACAATAGTCAACATGTAATTGTAATCACCAATCAGTGACATGATATCTCTATTTATTTTGTCAGCAGTGACACTTTTCATTTATATATGACACATATGCGCAAATCATTATAGGTATTGGAGGTATTAACCTTTTGTAATTAACAGATTAAAATTCATGACTTAGCAAACAGTTTTCTGATTTAATAAAGTTTAGTATTTCCTTTTCTCATTATAAAGATTTGTTTTCAAATAAAAATGGCTCAATAAGATTTGTGTTAAAATGACATATGCAGAGCATCTAGAGTCATGAAACTGTGGGGTTCCCACTTCAGACAGAGCCACACTAATTCACCCACACTTGTTTTGAATATTTTATTTTACTAGTGATATTTACATAGCTTGAAGTAAACTTATTGCAAATTCCTTAAATAAACTAGAGTAGTTATCTTTTGCTTGTCAAGAAAAGTATTCTAAGAAACACCAATATTTTGCTATTCATTGCAACCCAAGATATTTCAACACAACTGTAGTGGAAAAAAAAAAAGATTTTTTTATAACTAGCACTTTAACCATTCTTGAAGCATCCTCATTTAAAGCCTATAGGATAAGCCAGTCCTTTATATATGGTTTATTTTTAGAGGCTGAAATAATAATTAGTTTTAATAATTATTTTCAAATCTAAAAATAATCTGAATGTAAGAAAGAAATATTTTATCAAAAAAAAAACAAAGTAAAAAGATTAAAACAACAATATACAATCTCCAAAAAAAATTTAATAAAATATACAGATATGTTTTTCAACATCCACAACAGCATTTAAAGTATATTGTCATTTAGATAACTTATAAAGGAACAATAGAAATGTTTGTAGATTACATACTGATTGAATGATACAAATTATTTCTATCTATATTGAACTTTTGATTTGAACTTTTTGATAAACAAAAAATAAAAATAAACACACAGACACACACAATAAATGTAACTACTATATTCTAAAAGTTCTGTAAGTAAGGATCAGATATTGGTTCCTTTCTGTTTCCAATAATTACTCATTTCTTTACACTTTTTCATTTTGCTGTTTCTATCAAACTTTTACACATTTGTAGCCTTTTTTGCAAATGGTGTCTATTTTGGTATTTTTCTTGCTTCTAAGAGAAAGTCACTTGTATTCATTATGTCCTAAAGACAATGAAAATAAACATAATCAAATCAACTACAACCTGTTGGATAACCAAATATTATTTATCTACAATGAATAAAGTTTGTGATAAATATGCAGACTTTTTTAATTCTTTGATAAAGCACTAACATCTCCAATATCTTGTGTATCTGAGTAAAAGAAAAAACCTTTATGAATTTTATTCTCACAGTCAGAAAGTATTCAATATTTTTTCTTGTATTATTACTTACATCTCAGTCCAAAATAGGGTCTAAATAAATGTGATAAAACAGGTTCACTTTTTTGTATATTCACATTAATAATGGACAAAAGTAATAAAAAAAAAAAAAAAAGATTTAATCTGACAGTGAGTACTGTTATAGTAGGCAAAGTTTAAGAAAATAAAAATGTTTCTTAAATCTCCTGAAAAGTATAACCTACTTATCATCTCCTTAACACCGCATTAACATTAATACCTGCATTCTTAAGCACAGGTCAATCAACTAATTTCATTTCTGAAACCAGATACTTGGATAAGCGAAAACAAAAGATCAAAGGCCCAGTACCAAAGTGAAGAACATGCACTCAATGCACTCCCCAACAACTTAGAGACCTCAATATAAACCCATGAAAAATAGAGCACAGACATCAGTAATCACCAAAAAGCAGGACAGGCTGGTCCACTCCACTCTACCCAATCAAAAAATGGCTATGACTCTCTCTCTGTTCCAACACAAGCTATGAACTGTTTCACCAACAAGAATGAAAGTTTGTATTTGGATTCAAGAAAATAAACCTCCCAAAACAACATTTTCTAAGTGTTCATTCATTTTGAATATAAAAACCAACATTCTGTGCCAACCTCTACAATACCAAGGAAACTTACAAAAGAATTGTCCATCTGTCAAATGGTCTTAAAAGCAGAAAACAATAAAACAAAACAAGGACAAAATGAAAGGATAATAAAAAGAGCTTGATTAAAAGCTGACTTTAAAAAAAAACAAAAAACTTTTCTTTGAAGCAATTAATAATTTTTTCATTTGTAATTATGATAATAAGTAGCAAATATTTACTGTGTCCACTATGGAAAGATTTAAGGTAACCAAATTTTAAACCATTTGATCCCTCTGTGTATATATATATACCTGTACGTTATATTCCAGGCAAGTTCATTTCAAATACTTTGTGACGTGTGGATGGTGAAATACTTATACAGCTTTCAGTAAGCTAGAAATA